AGTTCTACTGCAGAACACGATAACAAACTTTTGTGTTGGAGTGTTGTTCTATGTGAGAATAGGCCCCTATTACCCATGTGTGTCGTACTGTGTGATAATATGTGAAAATAGGCCCTCAGTACCCCGTGTGTGTCGTACTGTGTGATACTATGTGAGAATAGGCGCCCAGTACCCAGTGTGTCGTATTGTGAGATACTATGTGAGAATAGGCCCCCAGTACCCCGTGTGTGTCGCACTGTGAGATACTATGTGAGAATAGGCCCCAGTACCCCATGTGTGTCGTATTGTGAGATACCATGTGAGAATAGGCCCCCAGTACCCCATGTGTGTCGTATTGTGTGATACTATGTGAGAGTAGGCCTAGTACCCGACGTGTGTCGTATTGTGTGATACTATGTGAGAATAGGCCCCAGTACCCGTGTGTGTCGTACTGTGTGATACTATGTGAGAATAGGCCCCAGTACCCGTGTGTGTCGTATTGTGTGATACTATGTGAGAGTAGGCCCATAGTACCCATGTGTGTCGTACCGTGTGATACTTGTGAGAATAGGCCCCCAGTACCCCATGTGTGTCGTATTGTGAGATACCATGTGAGAATAGGCCCCCAGTACCCCATGTGTGTCGTATTATGTGATACTATGTGAGAGTAGGCCTAGTACCCGACGTGTGTCGTATTGTGTGATACTATGTGAGAATAGGCCCCAGTACCCGTGTGTGTCGTACTGTGTGATACTATGTGAGAATAGGCCCCAGTACCCGTGTGTGTCGTATTGTGTGATACTATGTGAGAGTAGGCCCATAAGTACCCATGTGTGTCGTACTGTGTGATACTTGTGAGAACAGGCCCCCAGTACCCCATGTGTGTCGTATTGTGAGATACCATGTGAGAATAGACCCCCAGTACCCCATGTGTGTCGTATTGTGTGATACTATGTGAGAGTAGGCCTATTACCCGACGTGTGTCGTATTGTGTGATACTATTTGAGAGTAGGCCCCCAGTACCCCAGTGTGTCGTATTGTGAGATACCATGTGAGAATAGGCCCCAGTACCCGTGTGTGTCGTACTGTGTGATACTATGTGAGAATAGGCCCCAGTACCCGTGTGTGTCGTATTGTGTGATACTATGTGAGAGTAGGCCCCAGTACCCGTGTGTGTCGTATTGTGTGATACTATGTGAGAATAGGCCCCAATTCTCTATGAGTGTCGTACTGTGAGATACTATTTGAGAATAGGCCCCCAGTACCCCGTGTGTGTGGTATTGTGAGATACCATGTGAGAATAGGCCCCCAGTACCCCGTGTGTGTCGTACTGTGAGATACTATGTGAGAATAGTTCCCCAGTACCCCGTGTGTGTCGTACTGTGTGATACTATGTGAGATTAGGCTCCAGTACCAAGTGCGTCGTACTGTGAGATACTATGTGAGAAAAGGCACCCAGTACCCCGTGTGTGTCGTATTGTGAGAAACCATGTGAGAATAGTCCCCAGTACCCCATGTTGTTACGTATTGTGTGATACTATTTGAGAGTAGGCCCCCAGTACCACGTGTTTGTCGTACTGTGTGATACTATGTGAGAGTTGGCCCCCAGTACCCCGTGTGTGTCGTATTATCTGATACTATGTGAGAAAAGGCCCCCAGTACCCTGTGTGTGTCGCACTGTGTGATACTATGTGAGAAAAGGCCCCCAGTACCCCGTGTGTGTCGTATTGTTAGATACTATGTGAGAATAGGCCCACAGTACCCATGTGTGTCGTACTGTGTGATACTATGTGAGAATAGGCCCCCAGTACCCGTGTGTGTCGTACTGTGAGATACTATGTGAGAGTAGGCCCCCAGTACCCCGTGTGTGTCGTCTTGTGAGATACCATGTGAGAATAGTCCCCAGTACCCCGTGTGTGTCGTATTGTGTGATACTATTTGAGAGTAGGCCCCCAGCACCCGTGTGTGTCGTACTGTGACATACTATGTGAGAATAGGACCAGTACCCAATGTGTTGTATTGTGTGATAGTATGTGAGAGTAGGCCTCCAGTACCCCGTGTGTGTCGTATTGTGTGATACTATGTGAGAGTAGGCCCCAGTACCCCGTGTGTGTCGTACTGTGTGATACTATGTGAGAATAGGCCCCCAGTAGTCCGTGTGTTTTGTATTGTGAGATACTATGTGAGAGTAGGCCCCCAGTACCCCGTGTGTGTCGTATTGTTAGATACTATGTGAGAATAGGCCCACTGTACCCATGTGTGTCGTATTGTGTGATACTATGTGAGAATAGGCCCCCAGTACCCGTGTGTGTCGTACTGTGAGATACTATGTGAGAATAGGCCCCCAGTACCCCGTGTGTGTCGTATTGTGAGATACCATGTGAGAATAGTCCCCAGTACCCGTGTGTGTCGTATTGTGTGATACTATTTGAGAGTAGGCCCCCAGCACCCCGTGTGTGTCGTATTGTGAGATACTTTGTGAGAATAGGCCCCAGGTACCCGTGTGTGTCATACTGTGAGATACTATGTGAGAATAGTTCCCCAGTCCCCCTCGGTGTCGTATTGCGAGATACTATGTGAGAATAGGACCAGTACCCAATGTGTTGTATTGTGTGATAGTATGTGAGAGTAGGCCTCCAGTACCCCGTGTGTGTCGTATTGTTAGATACTATGTGAGAATAGGCCCCAGTACCCCGTGTGTGTCGTATTGTGAGATACTATGTGAGAATAGGCTCCAGTACTCCGTGTGTGTCGTATTGTGAGATACTATGTGAGAACAGGCCCCAGTACCCCGTGTGTGTCGTATTGTTAGATACTATGTGAGAATAGGCTCCAGTACTCCGTGTGTGTCGTATTGTGAGATACTATGTGAGAATAGGCCCCAGTACCCCGTGTGTATCGTACTATGAGATACTATGTGAGAATAGGCTCCAGTACTCCGTGTGTGTCGTATTGTGAGATACTATGTGAGAATAGGCTCCAGTACCCCGTGTGTGTCGTATTGTGTGATACTATGTGAGAATAGGCTCCAGTACTCCGTGTGTGTCGTATTGTGAGATACTATGTGAGAATAGGCCCCAGTACCCCGTGTGTGTCGTACTATGAGATACTATGTGAGAATAGGCCCCAGTACCCCGTGTGTGTCGTACTGTGTGATACTATGTGAGAATAGGCCCCCAGTACTCCGTGTGTGTCCTATTGTGAGATACTATGTGAGAATAGGCCCCAGTACCCCGTGTGTGTCTTACTGTGAGATACTATGTGAGAATAGGCTCCAGTACTCCGTGTGTGTCGTATTGTGAGATACTATGTGAGAATAGGCTCCAGTACTCCGTGTGTGTCGTATTGTGAGATACTATGTGAGAATAGGCCCCAGTACCCCGTGTGTGTCGTATTGTTAGATACTATGTGAGAATAGGCTCCAGTACTCCCTGTGTGTTGTATTGTGAGATACTATGTGAGAATAGGCCCCAGTACCCCGTGTGTGTCCATCTGGGAGACACCGAGACAGGAAGGATCCCCGATATACCATGCTTCGTCCCGTATCCTACCGTTGAGTATACACAACACCTCCACCACCCCGCCCCTAGTTGTCCGCGCATGTGAGGGTAGTGATCACACGATATGTCTGCATAACGACACTGAGAGGTCAAGCTGAGGCCGAGCCGCATGTGATATGATGGTTCATCTGATCCCTCGATATTGAGTATGGACCTACTTCAGGTTGATCAGTGTGTCTACAAAACACTTGGGCAGACTCCTATAATCTGAACAATAAGATACTCTGCACACATCGCGAGACAAACGTTGAGTGGCTGAGGTTGTTCACCTCAACCCGACTCCTCTTAATGACCTCCCGTGACCCCAGGTCCAGAGGGCCACTTGTTCCCCTTTTAAATATTCCTCCTTTAAATAAAAGCGACAAAACCGTGTCCATGATCATAAGAAATCTCTTTAACAAGCAGAGCCCACTGAACGATTCTGACTATAGTCGGACAATATTTGACAGTTGACACTCTTTCTAGTTGTTACACGTTGGATTTGACCAAATATTTCCAAAAGGTATGAAAACGGTACTAGCCAGAAAACAAACGACGAAGCTTTACAAGCGTGAAGTCCCAAATACAATGGCACCCGAATCAATCACATCACCATGGAATAACCATTCCTTGATTGTTTCAGTTTTAGCCACCATCAAGCATGGGTGTATACTTTCGTTTGCCCGGCAGACTACACGAGACAGTGCAGTCATGTGCATGGGGTGGTCATTTGAATAATACATATTAATGTTTACGGACCTATATATATTTTAATGTAACATCTCGCTCAGTAAAACGCTGGGAATAGCGTTGGGTGAATTGTTTTCGTCTGGGACTCTATTCATTCATCAAACAGTAACTCTGTGGGGTCCCGGTTTACTATCATCTAATTCAAGTGGAATCACCTTCTGACGTGTATTCAGTTACGGACGAGAACATTACCATGATGGACACAATAATAGGTGAAACAATTCCGCCCTTCCCTTGTGTATGGAATACTGTAAGGGACATTCTCGCGATCTCGCATTCTCGTGTTTTTGGCATACTAGTATTTAGCTCGTTTCCAAAGGTCGAGCGTGATGTCCCTTACAGTATTCCATTCTTGTTTGACTGACCAACAGCACGCAGCTTCCAGGCGAGAGAGTATTAGAAGCGGGTGTAAAATATACACCAAGACCTCAACCATTACCCGGTTCGGGGTTTAAATGTTGTCCTGATATTTTCTTAAGGGCGGATCTCCTCGACGGAACTTTGCCATGACTCACCGCATGGTCGTAGTGTAAAGTCCATAACACTTGCCTGACTGAGCGACAAAACCCTTTCAGAATTCAATAGAAATATCTGCATAAAGCAGAGTCGATTGTACAATTCCGACTATATCACGAGCATGGGTTTCCGAATCACTATCAAATAGTGATGATACCAAGTATTCGCGAAAAAGATATGAACTTAGTTTGTATAAAGTTTAATACTTAAGACAGTTTTACCAATATAATCAGCGTACAAAACATTCAATAAACAATACCAAGTTTATAACCCCACTGTCAGCAATTACAAGGACAAATCTGGTTATGTTGATCTGCGCATGCGCGACTTTCACGTGACTATTCCTTCCATTTGTTGTAATCCAGGTCAGGAAGGTCGCGACAAGGGATCCTGGGGTTGCTGAAACAGAATCAAAGTCGTGAGTGGAATTTTATGTTCTTGGGAACAATTTCGCGATTCTTTTCTTACTACTACTACTACTACTACTACTACTACTACCACTACTACCACTACCACTACCACTACCACTACCACTACTACTACTACTACTACCACTACCACTACCACTACTACTACTTCTACTACCACTACTGATACTACTACCACTACCACTACTCACAGGTAGGACGGCTGGAGGAAGGTGTTAGTCTGCATTTCTTGTGCAGATGTGGCATCACACAGGACACGTGCAATGGAGAACTTCTTGATTTCCTTCACCTGGTCTGAAACAGAACAAAACAATTGATTAAATTTTAGTCTTCCAATCATGTGAATCCTGTATGAAGGTTGTCCGGTGTTGCTGTACGGTGTTGCTGATCACGTTCTCCAGAAGGGTATCATACTAGAACTTTAGGAAACAGATCATGAAACATTCTTTCCTTCAGCCCCACACAGCGTACATCGTCATGTATTCATCCTACATACACGGACCGCCTCTGTGGTCTAGAGGACAGAGCGTTTGCCTAGAGAACGGAAGATCGTTGATTCGATCCCCGACCGCGTCGTACCGAAAGACGCTACATGTTGTTACCATGCCTGGCGCTCGGCATCAATTCAAGGACTGGTCGGCTCGGAGTCAGTATACTGTTTCTGAGTAGGGTATTCATGTTAAACTGCGGCACGGTATCTGAGTAGGCTCGCACTAGAACTCCAACATTTGTCCAGATGACTATAAGCACGCGCAAGCACACACAGTGCACGACGACAGAGGAATGGCTCACCTAGTGTGAATCCAGTGTAGCGGTCCTGGGTCTCGTACCAGTAGCGGTCACCGTACTTGATTCTCCGGAACTGCTCGGCGATGATACAGGCGAACGTTGGTCCCACCATACCTCCAGCAACAGGGTTCTCGGCGATTCCACCAGGGAAAAGGTCAAGGTCGTCAATGTTGCTGGAAGAAAGTTTAAATATGTTTGAGATGGATTTTGATGGCCAAAACATCAATCAGACAACATCAGAATTATTTCAAAATGATTATTTTAATTATTACTGCGGTCGAAAACAACATTGTCACTCCGGTGAATAAACTAGGAATAAAACGAAAACAAGTTAAAGGGTTCCCTAGCTCTTTCAGAACTGTATTAGGAGTGGTAGTTTAAGTATTCGTCCGTGGCGCCATGTGACGGCGAGTGAGTGAGTGAGTGAGTGGAGTGAGGTGAGTGAGTGAGTGAGTGAGTGAGTGGAGTGAGTGAGTGAGTGAGGTGAGTGAGGTGAGTGGAGTGAGGTGAGTGAGGTGAGTGAGGTGAGTGAGTGAGTGAGTGAGGTGAGGTGAGGTGAGGTGAGGTGAGGTGAGGTGAGGTGAGGTGAGTGAACGAAGAGTGCAATACCATCAAGACGGACAATAGCAGTATGTGAGATAAACTCCACTATTCCGTACTGTATTGTCTCAGTCTGGTCTAACACATCTTAGATTAACAAGTAAAGGGTATGTACTATTATTTACGGGTATAAATGTTTTGTTTGTTTGTTGTTTTTACGCCGAATCCAGCAATATTCCAGCTTTATGACCGTGGTCTATTAATAATCGAATCTGGACCAGATAGTCCAGTGACTGACATAATTTGCATAAATCTACCCAATTGGGATACGATGACATGCATCAACCAAGCGAACCTGACCACCCGATCCCGTTAATCGCCTCTTATGATAAGCATAGTTGTCTCTTACGACAAGCATGGGTTGCTGAAGACCAATTCTTAACCGTATCTTCACGGGTCGGGAATGTATGAAGTCGTTTCCGACAGAATTTGTCCGAAAGGCGTCTTTCCGGACTGACGGATTGAGGAGAGTTTAAGGGGGAAAGTGAAACTCAAAAATCATTTTACCGATAAGCTTGAGACAGGAGTTTAGCTTTGTCAGGGAAGTTGATCTTCAGAGCCGAGTAGTCCTGCAGGGCGGGGATTCCGCAGGCCCTCCTGAAGTCGTTGTACGGAGGGAGACCGTGATCACGACCTCTCTGAATGTTCAGAGACGTCAGATCCAGACTCTTGTTATTGAAGTCCTCAAACAGTCGGTCAGTGAGGTCTGTGGCAAAGAAGTGGTCTGGATGCTGAAGAGGATCTCCAGCAAGACCATTGCAGATGAGGTTCACGCCCTCCCCATCGTTCTGAAGTATGAACTTGGGTCGATTGAACATGTTTCTCAGAAGCTCCCGACGCCCACCCATGGAGAACTTGCTTGGAACCAGAGAATGTCCAAATCTAAAGGCTGCACTGGCGAAAGCATTCATAATGGTGGGGTTCATGCTTGAATCGTAGTACCAGTTGTTGGATCCGTAGGGTTGGTAGTCCGCACTTCCTGAGACGGTAAGACCATACTCCTTCATGTAAGTCCTGCCCAATAGGATGGGCAGCCACTCGTAGTAGGTGACATGCTGGAGCAGTCCTCCCAGGATTTTCCTGCTCTCCCGGTACAGCCTCTCGTCCTCCCAGTGGGAGTTGATTCTCTTCAACGTGAGAGTCAGCATGTTATGATAACGATGGAACAGTGTGTGGAGAGCTGTGAGGGCTGGCTGTTCGTTCACTCTCTCGTCACCTGGAAATTGCATGTCCTCCATTAGTAAAGAATATGAAATGTGTTTCCTTATCGCCGTTGTGAGTTTCCGTTCCTCCTGATTTTGTTTTGCCGCTTAGTATCAATAGTTTGTGATTACATTTGTAACATTTTAACTCAATGTGTTTCACTGATGTTACTAAAACTACAAAAAAACATCTTGTTAAGAAATTTTAACACGTAATTGTACCTGTAAGGGAAATGCTGTTTAGTAACAATGTTACCCTCATCGAAACCCAGAACATCGCTTTTCACTTACCTAAGTACGTGAAACGCCGATCACACCCCTCCTACCCACCTTAGTGCGATTAGTGCGGAACACACACACACCTCACCAATCTAAGGGCAAGAATCGCGGAACTAACGCCTCTCACCAACCTTAGTGCGAGAAGCAAGGAATTTATAATTATGCATAACGCCAACTTCAGTGCGAGAAGCACGAAACTTATAATTACGCCTCAAACCAACCTAAGGGTCAGCAGTGCGGAACCTACGCCTAACGCCTGCAAGAAGCATGGGTCGGTAAACACGGATGTAACACCTTCATGGAGCAAGAAGGCAGCGTGAGGCAAGAAGCGCGGAATGTTACATTTGCGTCGAAGAAGGCATCTGACTTACCAGCCTTGAAGCAGTAGTCGTCCAGGTTGTCCTTGATGCATGTGGCATTGACGTCCTCGGGGAGAAGGTTCTTCTCCGTAACCTTCAGCTGTCCTGATAATTTAATTTAAATAATAAGTTTGTTTGTTTTTTTATTTGTTGTTTAACGCCGCACTCAGCAATATACCAGCTATATCATGACGGTCTGAAAATAATCGAGTCTGGAGTGATTGACATTATGAGCATCGATCCACGCTATGGGGATACGATGACATGCAAGTCAGCGAGCCTGACCACCCGATCCCGTTAGTCGCCTCATTACGACAAGCATAATCGCCTTTTACGGCAAGCATGGGTTGCTGAAGATCTATTCTACCCCGGATCTTCACGGGTATTTAAATAATAAGACATCAAACATGACATTGTAGGGCTGTGTTAAACACCGCTTCGAGCAGCTTTTCAATTACACTATGACGTGATATCTGTGAAGGATGTCTCATGCGTCAATTATTTGGTGATTCCGACGAAACCGGGTACACATTCTCACAGATTATAAGCGCGGCGAGTCGGGAGTTCGAACCCACGCACACAATTTGAACCACATGGCTACCCCAGCGCCCGTACAAGGTAAGTGACACAATACCAGTGTTTTACTTACCCAAGTTGTAGGTCCTGAGATCCCTCATCTCCTTGAAACTGGCACCATACACCTGGGAGGCATCGATGAAAGCGGTGATCATGTTCATCTGTTCCCTGATCCCTGTGACAACATATCCGGGATATTATATACCAGTTTCCTCACGTGTTTATGATTAAAACGGCAAATACAACACAATATGACGACATATCTCCTGGAAGTAGGAACTGAAAATCAAACATCAATAAAAAATATATTTAGTGAATATTCACCATGAAGAATATGCTTTGTGTGTTTGTTTGTTGTAAAGCGCCGCACTCAGCAATATTCCAGCTATATGACGGCGGTCTGTAAATAATCGAGTCTGGACCGAATAATCCAGTGATTGATATCACCAGCATCGATTCACGCAATTGGGAGACGATGACATGCATAGTCACCTAATATGACAAGCAAAGTCGCCTTTTATGGCAAGCATATGTTGCTGAAGATCTATTCTACCCCGGATCTTATCGGATGTCAATGTATGTATCTGTATATTCGAATCAGGATCAAAACGAGGCTATGGCGGCGAATGGGTTCATAACAGAATGGGGTTACACTGGATAATCGGGGATGTGCCACGTGGTGCATGAGTAAACGAGTGGATATTGTTTTATGGCTCAATGATTCAGATATAACAGGGACCAGATAAAACAACGGTCGATCATACACCAAAGTCCACAGGGACACCAGATCCATTACTGAAGCAGTATTTAACACAATACATGTACCTCCTTCGCACATGAGTTTCCGGGGTTCCGGCTGAGACCGGGCGAAGTTCATGCAAGTCCGATCAAAGTGACGATCACCTGGGGGAATGTAGATTGGGAAGCAAGGCTTGCTGCAAAATATCGAAAAGATAATTGTACTATACATTACAAACTAATCTAATGTCGAATCGGAACAAAGGGGCCTTAAAGACGTATGTAATTTAAACAAATACTCAAAAATGAAAAAAAAACCCATTTAGCCTCATTACAGGTTCAGCTCATCGACCTGCTCAAGTTGGCCTTTGCTTAACCACTCCTGATAATATCATGTTTGACAGGTACATTTGAGATAAACATTATTTGACAATATTAGCTTAATATCCTCAAAATGTATTGAAAACCATCTTGGATAGAAGGTCTGTGTTCACCAGTACACTTTGACCTACCCTTGGAACACATCAGGGTGGTGGGGGTTGTCATCAGAGAGGAAGACATTGTTGCAACATTTCAGGTCTTTCCCATTGGTAGCTGCAATACAAATGTCTCATTTAGAAATGTGATTGGGCTTTGTTAGATACAAAATATGTGTTTCACTACATCGAGATTTTTTAGGTAAAAAACATGACGTAAACTTAGTTCTTGACTTGTTCCATATGTTCCCGTTTTTTTTAAAGTGAACAATTGACTTTCCTTTGCATGTGTTTGTAACGGGTGTCACGGTGAGGCAGAATACGCTCAGCATTTCGCGAACACCTGGTATCATCCCCACTTGAAAGTAATTCATAAACACATGCTTATGATTTTGTCGGAATCGTACCATCGAGATTTCTATTGGATATCGCTTTTGTCCCGTATATTTTCGGGTACAAATTATAATTATTTTTTCAAGAAAAGATCGCATTCCTCCACCGAGTATTTAGTGTCGTGTATCTTCTTGGGTTCATCACCACCCTGTGTCAGTACTGTTCCTAGTATTCTTATTATTCTCAGTACAAACAACTATTATATTAAAATACGAATAAATGGAAAATTTGAAAACGCTAGCATGTAGTTTCGCCTTTTTAAAATGCAGCAAGGTGAATATTCACAACACAATGAATAGTTCCGCCCGGTACCTTTGGAGACTGGCGTGCCGGTCATGTCGTGGTCAGTGAACTGTCCCCACTGCATAAAGAGGTTGCTGATGTCGGGAAGGTGTTTGTCGTCGCCGTCGTCGGGAAGAAGCATCTGACGGCTGACGTAGCGGGGGGTCGGGAGGAGGGGATAGCGTCCGGTGTTCCGGTCCTTCACACGGCTGTACATCCGGGGTAGAGATGTTCCTGGAACACAGAACATTGTCAGAAACTTCAACAATAGCGTCAACAGCAGCATCGACAGATGGGTCAACAGTAACATCAACAAAAATGCCAGAAGCAACATCGACAGAAACGTCATCAGCAACATCGGCGAAAACGTACGTCAACAATAACATCAACAGAAATGCCAGTAGCAACATCGACGGCAACGTCAATATCAACAGAAACAGAAACGTTAACAACACCAATAGAAACGTCAACATCAACATCAACAGAAACGGCAACGACATCGTCGACAGTCTTATCTTCATGCCGATTGCGCGTGTCGGAAGAAGGACAACCATGTTCTTTTATAACCACTTAATATCAATATTCTTTAACAATAATCCAAGCCATTTCGTCATTTCGAACTTTTCTCCAAATTCAAACAGTGAAGCCGAAAAAAGCGAAGTTAAACAAAACTCACTCACTAACTCTGATAACAATAAGTGCATTTGTATGGCGCCAAAGTCCATTCACAAGTGGATGCTCTGAGCGCTACAGAGTTAATAACACAGGCATGGTAAAAAAGGACACAATTCATGTTAGGCCGAAGTATTTATGGAACAGATGTGTTATCAGTCAACTCTTGAAAGATGGAAAGGTGACCAAAACAGTCACGACAATTTTAAATATACACTATATAGATTATAAAAGATTATTACACAATTAATTCACATCTATAGAGTGAGTGAGTGATGATGGTTTATCGCCCCTTTGAACAGTATTTCGGTAAGATCACGGCGTGTCAGCTTAATGTGGGAGGAAAGCTCAGAGTGATGCAGGTGAAACCCAGCAGCACGGACATGGTGCTGACAAACCTAGAAACGTCATCACGACGAATCTGGATGCAAACCAAGGACTTCGGGTGTCTGGCAGACCAAAGGGACGCGACTCTGCACAGCGAATAGCGGCGCATTAGACAAGTTGATTACTCGTGCCCACGTGACATACGAAGGAGGGTGAGACTCACCATCAGCATACAGGGGGTTGAGGAACCTGGCCACAGGCTGCATCGTTGCCCCCCACTTGGGGTTGGCGAGGTTATTGCAATGGCCGTCATAGGTCCTGAACTTGGCCAGACGGTCACACTGGATCGACCTGTCTGAGCAGCTGATCTTCACCTCTTTCTGGGGCTTGAATCCAGTGTCCGAATCCTTGAAGAAGTTTGTTTTGTCGTTTGTGGAGCCGAAACTGTCTTGGAATGGATCGTTGTGGAACGGATCTGGACCGAAAGATGCTTTTTCGGTAAAACTGGGCACAGGACCAAATCCTGGGGCTCTGAAATTATGGAATGCCGGAACATGTATTTAATAAAACTGACGACTTCAACATGATGTGATTATAAGTATATGCAATAATTTACGACATATTAAAGAAATTCTAGATCGATATACGCAAGACGTTATCTTCCCATGTTTATCTCAACATACTCATACTCGGATTGAACAAAAACAGGTTTAATTTGAATGTAAAGACAAGCTCGCCATACGGGAAGGTACAATCCAACACGTGATCACAGGGTTAATTAATTGTGGGGTCAATAGAAACATGTCTTGTTGAACAAATACAGACATTTAGGACGACAATTATGCGGAGGATGTGGTCCCCTGACTGACTATTTAAAAGAGATGTTTTGTTACTTTAATGGCTTGGTGACTTGGTTGACAGCGGGATGTTGTACCCAAACGACCATGATCAGTGCTCATGATACTGATCACTGGATTGTCTGGTCCAAACTGGATTGTTTACAGACCGCCGTCGAATGGCAGAAGAATTGATGGGTGTGGCAGGATGCAACAAACAAACACTTACTAATTTATGAAAATCGTGTGAGTTGCTGATGCTACAGCTAGAGTAGAACATGCTCACCCTTTTCGTGAACACCTGGTGTCATCACTGATTTTCAGTGATCCATGTATATAATGTCCTCCATTAGTTTGCCTTCTACGACCAATGGAATCAGTTTCGGCAGATAATCGAGACTGGTTATTAGCTGGTGTTGACGTTTTGAATTGCATTCTTCGAAAAATATTGACATAAATCAATTGTCACTTACTGTCTCTTAAAAATCTTATGTCCGAAGTTTAGACCACCAAATCCAAATGGAGATGTAAAAAGGTCGTTCATCTTCTTGAACTGTCCTCCTAACCCATATCCCAGTTTGGTGGACCTCATAGCAGCGATCTCAGACATGCGGTCATGGCCGATTATGTTTCCTAGGTAACACAAATAGGAAGATGACAAAGTGTAGACTTATCGCCATGGCAACACACAAAACTGACATTACTATCACACGTGGATTGATATTGATTTTATGAAAAAAGACAAATCTCGTTTTTCCCATTTTCGAATATGGGAATTATAAATAATGGCATGAGGGAGGGGACGTCAGCTGTCATTCACAATTGATTTTCCAGCTCAAAGACAAAGATGTTACATATAAGATGTTTTGGAAAGTGATAAGTGTCGTGTTCCCAAGTCTCGCAGAACAACGAAGGTCTTGTTAACTTAACAAGAACATTTTCACCATAACTGCATTCAGCATGTACCAACCGTTTATTCCAATGATTTGAGAATGCCCAGAAACGCGGACACAAAAACTCGCGAAGAACAGAAGTTGATCTGACAAGGCGAGAAGGTATTACTTACCAAACTGGTCACTAGGAGTATCAATATAATCATCATAATAATCAGCTACGGCGACACACAGACACAAGGCAGCAAGGAGGTATATCACTGAAGGGAACGCCATAACTGAAAATACGTAAATACGAAACGAATGAATTTTGATACGGATATGATTTATGTGGGTGAAACGATTCAAGGAGACGATAGACATTAACACTGATCAATACTGATACATAACATAGACCAAAGCATCCACCATCCCAGCATAAACTGTGCTGTAACCTTTCATTACCAGCACATGGACACATTGATTGTTTTGTGATTATGTTGTCACGTCTCGTGAAGACCAGGGTCTGATTTCCAACATTGGATTAGTATAATGTGTGAAGCCGATTGCTGGTGTCTCCCGCCGTGATATTGCTAAAAGCGGCCTAAGAACCAACGTTACTCACTTACTCGTTATCTTGCTACCTGTGGACATCCCTCATCTCTCTTATCATGCAGCCTTGTGAATATTTATTGTAACTCTGAATGGTTATAAATATATCTACATATGAAACAGGTGAGGCTGTTTTATTGGTCTATTTTATTTCTATTGCAGGTGGGTAAATCTGGGAAAAGGATTTGGCTATTTGACCATAAGTGAAATATGTCAGATTATTGATGAACTTGAAGCTTAAGTTCTTATTTCCCGTATATTGCCAATCTGATGAGAAATTCTGATTCATATGCTTAAATAGAAAGATCAGCAAGAAAGGGAGCACGTCTTACCTAAATATCCTATTGCCAAATGACATACATGCTATCGAAGAGGCAGTCCAGTATTAATGTCACAAATGTTTAGTTCCCCAGTGACTGACGTTCATTGTTTTTCAAGCTGATGAGGGGGTTTCCGAGGCTCAAGTATAGAATAAATATTCGGTATAAAGCCAATGTACATAGATTCAGCACGATTCATTTTACAGTGACAGATTGATACATTAATTTAACATATAGATATTTCTTAATACAAACGCTTCTCTCGCAAACTTTGTACTGTTCATTACAGTATCCTTCATATTAAAAGATAATTACATATTAAATTTACTCATGTTGATCTTAAGGCAGTGAAATATGGGCAAACCATATGGGCAAACATATAAAGTTTTGCTCATCGTCAATTATTCCAAGATTACACAATTTACACAGCCGAATCCAACGAGCAACACCGGATCATCTTCCAACACATATCATTTGTGTCAGTTCCCCAATTTGTAATAAACATACAAGTCGCACGTATTCAAGAACCGTGAATGCACGCAAATAATATTCAAAAAAGTGTGATTTATGTTCTCGATAAAGACATAGTTTACTTGATTTACAAGCTTTAGAATACAAGTCTTGTTTTGATCTCTTCATCTTTGTACAAAGTTATTTAAAATAAAATATGATCACCAACTTCTTGTGTGATCAGTGCAACGCCATAACCGTACGAGAACAATAATCTATTTACATTTGAAATAAATAAAACGATAAGCCCATTTCCATATCCAATAGAAATAAGTGGAGTCAATTGTACAATTACGACTATATCACGAGCATGGGTTTATGAATCAATATAGTAATGATACCAGGTGTTCGCGAAAATGTGAGCGTATCCTGCCCCACGTTACACGATTGCATTGATCTATGATAGACAGAAAAGAAAACATTGCTTTTGATAACTGTTATCAGACACTGACAACAATTTCCTATCTCATACCTACAAACGTTTATATGAAACCACTCGATGTATACAACTTTAGAGTGTCCCCATACGTCCAATGTATGCAGTCATATTGGTTTAATCTGGGTATCAAATATTTTAAAGAGAACAGAGAGTGAAATATTATTAATCTTGTACTGTAACTGTTTAACACAAACTAAAGCTTTATCAGCTTTAGGATTAAGAATAATAATTCAATTAAACCAAAACAACCTATTTGAATAGCAACCCAACACAATTATAATACGTACATATTTTACATGTTCATTTCCATACAAGTGTACCACCATTCCGTAAAAAAACTAACATTTCCGTCTTATCTAAATTGATAGGTAATTCCCATTGAATGTTAAATTCTTTGAGAACATTAAGTTTTCTTTGTAAACCAATAACAGTTTCACCAAACAGGCAAAGGTCATCTGCATATAACAATAATAATATATATATCAAGGAATTATTGACCTACTAATCCAATATTGGATTCCAAATCTACGACAAAGAGTTAGAAAAATAAAGGACTAAAACACAACCCTGCTTTACACCACTGAAAGTGTCAACGTGATGAGAAATAGAATTATTTCCTGAGAGTACACATCCAATAAAACATTAAAGACTTTACCATGAATGCCTTCATTTTATATGGTATTCCAAAGCAAGTTTCCATTAAGTCATACTCGTAATCTTTTCGCCCATTCCCCAGGAGAATTTCCACTATTCAGAATTATATTACATAACACATTGAAAAAATGGTAAAAGATTGGCTTCACAACACTAACTCATCTCTAGTGTGAGTGCATGATGCCCTGGCACATTGCCCTCTCTCAGATTACCAATACCTTCTACAATTTCAGTGTTAGATATTTCTAAGTTTCGAATAATATTGACACCATCGTCCTTGCAAACATTACAAATGTCATCATATTGATATCGTACATACTCATCCGCCTCTCCAATGTGATCTTGGTCAATATCGAAATCAACGATGTTCCAAAGCCACTCAATGCGACACACATTCCGCAGCTTATATAGAATTTGTAACAAATGCTTTTACTTTTAGTGAGCTGTTTAAATTGATTCTAGAATTATTTTGAATGACTACAGTACTGTAAAAATGTATTTACCATGACTTCCTAATACATTTCCTTCTTAAGGCGATACAAATTCCGATAAGAGTTTTTAAACGTCGGAATTATGTCAGAAAGTTCAATTCGCCAGGAGGTCTCTTATTCCTATCAATTGAATTGGAAAAAAGCCCTTTTCCCGCAGCTATGCTTACATTGAACAACTATCAATGTGTAGTATAGGCCTGTGACTTCCTGGGTATATATGTTGACATGTCTTACCTTTCAAGATCTCCACTGAAGGGGTCTCTGTATCTCTGCTGTGGTGAGCCTCCCTTGACCACAGTACCCACTAGACTGAGAGTATCATCCCCCATCTAGCGACACCCTCCCGTACACTATTACATAAGCACAGTAAACAGTACACAGGGGGCCATCCCTTGCTGTGTTTACATTCTGTGTTGTTTTATATGCGTTATTTATAGACATATTAATCCAACATCGTTAGGCCACAGCGTTGTTCCACTTCATTAATGAACAAAGATATTCCGAAATTTCATACATGATGAAAACTGTATTCACCATGAACACACGGGCAGTAAATATAAACATTGATTTCTGTCCGTCTGCTGACATAACACAAATAAATAAAACAACTTTGTCCCCTGTTTGCTCATGCTTTTGGGGTCAGGTATGACAAAATAATACTCGTTAAAAATGTCCTCGTTCAATAATTAACAAAATGGAATGTTGTTATTCTTTAAGGGGTCATTATTGTACAGACCATACTTGTAACCATAACTTTAAAGGTCATCAAAGTTCGTTTCTAAATATATGTTTTAATGAGAAATCTAGAACAGAATCTTTCACCATATTCCAGCTTTTAACGTACATTTACTTGATTAATATCAACATAGTTGGAAAGCAGCTGACGAAGGTGCACCTAAAAGCAGAGCCGCGTGATTGCCCAAGTGACGAAACTCTTTATTCACGCCCTGCTGAGTGTTTCACTTGACTTCATTTGATTGGTCCCTCATAAACACTGTCTAATGGCATACCGTTAAAAGTGGCCTATTTCGATTATGGGCCCTCAGGAAAGACGAATACGGATTATTGTAGGTAATAAAACAACGAGTAAATATTTCCCCTTTTAAGCACATGAATGTTACATTTCTGACATAGTTTGAGTGCATTTACCGTTTGATGTTTCATGTGAGACGCACAACACAGATTATTCATCAAAGCAACGAACACCACATTTTGCATGGAATGCACGTGCATCTGAGTGTCATGACTTGTACACACCATTTGCATGTGATGCAAGTGCAGCACACAGTGTCGTGGACTGTACACACTGTTTGCATGTAATGCACGTGCACCTGTGTTTCATGAATTATACACACCGTTTGCATGGAATGCACGTGCAGCTGAATGTCATGAAATGTACACACTGTTTGCATGGAATGCACGTGCAGCTGAGTGTCATGAAATGTACACACTGTTTGCATGGAATGCACGTGCAGCTGAGTTTCATGAATTATACACACCGTTTGCATGGAATGCACGTGCAGCACACAGTGTCATGGACAGTACACACTGTCTCCGATAGATTTAACTGATTTAATGTACACCACATAATCAAATAGGGATGTTTTATTTGGCAAAATCAGTGTAAATAACATCTTCCGTTTTTATCTATACACGCAATGGTTATCTTGGTTTTAAAAAATTCCGGTTTTGTTTAACGTCTATAATATGTGACAATAAGAGTGAGTGAGTGAGTGAGTTGGGTTTAACGTCGCTTTTAACAGTATTACAGTCATATCGCGGCGTGTCAGCTAAATGTAGGAGAAAAGCCCGAAATGATGCAGGTCTCAGACGTTTACCACTTTGGTGAAACCCACGAGCACGGGTATGGTGCTGACAAACTAAAGACTTGGAATTGATGAAGCAAAATATCACATAGTGTGATTCATGATTGTGCATTTCTGATGAGTTTACGGAAAGATCATGAATGCCAGTCGTGTAGTGACAAGATTTCACGAGTTGAAGCGGGACTAGGCCCAGGTCAACGAATAGTCTCAGCACATGTGATTGAAGTCATTCAAAACACACTTTGTCTGTCAATTCAAATAAATGATGTAGATCAAGCCTGCAGTTAATGATTGTCCTAACTATATTCATAAGATGTCTCAGTTTGGCACAAGTCACTAATTACAATGTCAACACCTAGCACATAGCTGACAATGGATCGTGGATCAAAGTCTCCTTTAAATATGTATCTTCTGAAATGGATGAATGGGAAGTGAATATGGTTTTACGCTT